TAAGAGGGACGACTAAAAGGTAATTTGGCAGGAGTTATTGACGCACAGCCTTATAAGACCAGTTTGTAAGGATTCTTTCATCCTTAGTTATATTATGTTCACCTGCGTACTTATCGTATACCATAAAGTTTGGGTACCGCAGCAATGTTTTTTACACATTAGCACCTTGATAATATTTCCCAAAATGTCAAGCTCTCTGATGCGCCTCCGTATTTATTGATCCAGCTTCCGCTTCTAGAGATGTGGATTATGTTTCAAACATTCTATATGTTCTATAAAACTGATTCGCTTTTTACTTCATTCATCTTTAGCTACAAACCAAATTTGAAAGTCTAAAGAAAACGCACGCTGAGGAAAAGAAGAAACTTGAAGAGAAGAAACGCTTTTTGGAAGAGGAAATAGCTGCCTTCGAACGTCGAAAGCAGCTTGCGGAACAAGCAAGACAAGGAAATCTAACTATGAAAAAAAGGAAATGAACATTTTGGCAGGAATACAGCTAGTCTTCATATTACTCAATAATTCACTTTAGCATTATGATTTCCGGTTATTGCTTTTGCTAATCTCACTTCTCTTTTATAAATTAGTCTAATTTTTTCCTGTGAACTTCAGCCCTATGTAAAACAAACCACGTACACTGCATTTGAAAATTACCGGGTGTTCAAATGTTTCTTTTTATTTCATTATAGGCAATAATATGATGTTTGTTTTATGCTAATCAGTTTGTACTTTGATAAACTAGTCAGTCGGTAGCAAAACGTGGTTACCACTCACTGAATAATAATAAGAGGGGAACCCAAAACACAGGCTGAATTTAAAAGGTATGACAGGAGACCAGCCTTAGAAAATGATAAGGTTGAGTAGTTTTTATTGAGCAATTAGAAGTGTGGAAACACTTTGCTTATGTTCTAGATTACATTTAACTTGTAACCAAATGTTCTTGAAGCGGCAGCTTAGCTAATAAGAACAGTACCGAGCCACCAGTGAAAAAGGTATCGAAACATTACAGTACTTAATATCGGGTCTTATGAGGAAAGTGGCGCATTTCTCTGCGGGTTGTTATTTTACTGTAGCGATTTGTTTGTGTAAACTACCAAACACTCTAGCTGTAACTGATTTACTTTTCAGTCTCTAGGACTAATATAGTTTATTTTGTAACCACACATCTACAAGTGTTAGACGTCTTATATGTATGATTTGAAGCTACTACTCTAAATTACTTTCAGCTAGGGGATTTAAGATGATAACGAATGGGTGACAATAATTGCACTAACAACGGTAGAGTCAATAAAGCACCAGATAGATTAGAGAATACAGTAGCACAAGTTGTGAAACTGGTATCAGCGAACCTCAAACCAATTTGGAGTCACCGCATGAGATTGCCAATATCACACATTACTATTATTTTAAGTGCCTACTAAGGTCCACTACCTTAGATGTAGCTTGAGGGGAAATGGGTATTTGTAAGTACGGGTAAATGACCAGTTACTCGATATTATATATCTAAGCAAGGACCGATATTGCTCGGTGCAAGGGTGAAAATGAGGGTGGAAACATGTATGAACCGACTATACCCACTGTTGGTTTAGAAACTACGCTGAACCATATGCTATTAGCATAGATGATCAGAAGTCAGATCTTAATACGGCGAAACGGTAGTTGTTGACACTAACTAATAATCAATAATTTCCCTAATGTATGCAATTTGAAATATCGATAGATTAATTGCATCAACTAACAAATATAAATGAGTTGCCGGGTTACATATTTGCTTCATCTACTTACGGTTAACGTCTTGCCAGGTTATGTCCGGTAGTATTGTATGCGACAGTCAGACATCGATCCGTAACGGTTTGTAACTTTATCTAGTTAATTTTTTGGCCAACAACACTAGTATCATCAACTTGTAAGTTGCACAATGCCATAAGGATACATATGACCTGGTATTTGCAACCCATGCATCTCTCAGCTGTCACATTTTACAAAATAAGACAGATCAAGCTATTTTATAATAGACTTGAGCTTCAATAAGATTATAGTTATTTTGCCTAAGTCATAATTGTTGTAGCTTATCATGGTTTGGACCCGTTTTTATCATGATTTTACCACCTACTGAGCTAAAGCCCTGAGTTTCGTTTTAGCTTTTTAATGCACCAGTACTGTCGTTTGTTAATTAGATTGGTGAGAGGAAGTGACCCGTTGGTACGTTCAGTAAGCTTTGGTAGTATTTTGAAAACAACATGAATAGGAATATTGCATTTATGTGAGACTAGGTAGTTTAACAAGATTGTGGCCTGTATTCGCTCTACTTTGCCACATTACATATTAGCATGATGATAGATGAAGCTAGTCTTAATTGCAATGAAAATTTAACCAAAAGCAATACAATTGAATGAGATTTAATAATGAAGAGTAGGGGACAGAAGTAGAATAAGTACCACTGGGGCAGAATTCGGGCTATATCTCCAAGCTATCGGTTGTGAGTACTGCACAAGACAAACAGAAAATGCACCCACTAAACATTTTACAATTCACAAGGATTAGTAGGCTCAGAACTGAAATAAGTGATAACGGGGTTACCAATCTAGCGGAATAATAAAGACTCAAGCATAGATAGTGAAATCCAGTTGACTGGTTTCATAACCAGTAGGGCTGATAGATTAAACCGAAGGGGAGGCGGGGTTATTGTGTACACGAAAAGTACCCTAACCATAAGATTAGCTGAGACAGTAGCACATGTTTCAGGGACATGTGAACTAGTGAGATGTAAGTTGAAATGCCGAAGGCAAGATATTGAAGTAGTTGTAGTTTATCGCAGTCCAGAAAGTGTAGCAGATGGTTTTCTCCTAAGTAAACTTAAGTCCTGGTGTAACAACGGTAAAAGCCTTGTAGTAGGCGACTTTAATGCACCATATATAAACTAGGTAAACTTAGAAGTAGGGTCAGCCATATCGTCTTTCGACTCCAAACTGTTAGAAACCTCGATTGGACTAGCATTATTACAACACATTAGAGATCCCACAAGATACGACTTAAGAAACTCGTCTTCTATTTTAGATTTAGTCTTCACGCACGGCGATGACGTTGGTCAAACGGCTTTTCTTCCACTACTTGGGAGAAGTGACCATGCAGTCATCTTATTCAAATTCATGGTTGAGATTGCTTGTCAAACAATTGCGCCGGCCCGTCCTAACATATGGAAGGCAGATATGCAGGCAATTAACTCCGCAGCATCGGCTGAGAACTGGGAAATTGATTCAAAGGCATCAGTACAAGAGGCATGGACTCTATTCAGGCAGTTATACAATCGGGTAACGCAACCATACATACCCTGGACTGTCCCAAAGAAAAAGAAGCACGGACATCCCTGGATAGGGCGGGATATTCGACGCTTACTAAGACAAAAGAAGAAATGCTGGGATGTTGCCATCCGCCTTGGTACAGCAGGTACGCTGGAACGTTACAGATCGATAAGAAACGAGTGTATAACTAAAATTCGGGAAGCTCAAAGAAAATATGAAATGCAGCTGGCACAATCTGCACTCAAGCAGCCCAAGAGGATATTCTCGTACATAAACTACAGAACAAGGATTCATCATTGGATTCCCAACCTAATTAAAGAAGGGAGTGAATCTGAAATGATAGAGGAGGATCGTGAAAAAGGCGATGCTAAGGTTGACTTTTTTGGGGCAAATTTCACCCAGGAACCTCCTCTAGAGAAAGAACCAGACCCAATTACAGAGTCAACAAACCAGCTGCTCACCGTGGACTTCGACCAAAACGATGTGCTTAAGGCTCTTAGCACCCTAAATATGCAAAAGTCAACAGGACCAGATGAACTACACCCTAAAATCTTGAGACATATAGCCCAATATATCGCAGCCCCACTGACTGTGATATTCAAAATGTCACTTGACCAAGGTGTGTTACCTATGGACTGGAAGGACGCAATCGTCACTCCCATACATAAAATAGGTCCACGACAAGTTCCATCGAATTACAGACCCATAAGCCTCACCATTGTAATTAAAATACTGGAAAGAATAATCAAACGGACCATAACGGCATTTATGGAAACAAATAACTTGCTGAACATGGTTTTAGAAAGGGTCTATCCTGTACAACGAACCTCCTTATAGCTAGGGAGCTCTGGATTAATGCGCTAGACATCGGAAACTCAGTGGATGTTGTCTACATAGACTTCAGTAAGGCTTTTGACAAGGTGCCAACTAAGGACATTCACTAAGTTTGATACTACCATGTTCACCACATTATACACATCCTTAGTGAGAACTAAGTTAGAGAACTGTGTTCAGGCTGCAAGCCCCTGTTTAAAAGGTGACTCAGACATACTAGAAAAAGTGCAGAGGGCAGCTACGCGTGCAATTCCGGAACTCCGGGGTTTATCATATAAAGAGCGGCTTGAAAAACTGAACCTCTTTACTCTGTCCTATTGCAGACTAAGGGGAGATCTAATATTGATGTACAGAATATTGAGACATGATTTCGGACCTAACTTATTCTCTTTTTCTTCCCACTAGATCGGAACACCTCAGAGGACATAGCAGACGAGTAGAAAAGCCAAGAACAAACAAAATACCCGTGGCATACAGGTTTTCACACCAAGTCATCAATACTTGGAACCTGCTGCCTGAAGCAGTGGTGTCCGCACCTTCAATTGACTCTTTCAAGAGAAGACTGGAGACTCACAGAAGCATACTAGAAAAGGAATAACATAGGCTGTAGGCCTTCTGTCCTTACTACACAAATCTGAATCTGAATAACTATCATCAAATATTCAGAATAAATGTTCAGACTTAAGTCAAAACGACATTTGTGGAGCAGCAGATACTATGAGAGATGATACACACTACAATTTTTGTGAAAGCCATATAGACCTCACTCTTCTACAGGTGGACACATAGATCTCAGATTGTACAGTTTCAGATAAGCAAAACTTTATGCAAAAAACTTTACAGAACTGTAGGTGTCGATAAGGTAATTTATACAGTATTCGTTGTGTTTGCACGGATTATCTTGATAAGCTCACGAGGCCTTTCTGCTTGATCAACATCGACCATACCTACAAGCAGTAAGAATGAAAAAGAAAACTTCTACCGAGGCGTTGAACAACCTTCATACCGGAAGCAACACGTCCAAAAATAGTATGTTTACCATCTAACCACTGTGTAGGAGCCAAAGTTATAAAAAACTGACTGCCATTTGTATTTGGACCGGCGTTTGCCATTGAAACAACTCCAGCACCTGGATCATGATGACTTAACTTTTCAAATGACTTACCTGTGTGTTTTAGGTCAGGGTGAATTTCATCCGCGAAGTAAGACCCATATATTGATGCTCCACCTCGACCAGTACCTGTTGGGTCGCCACCTTGTATCATGAAATCTCGAATAACACGATGAAAAGCAACATTATTGTAGTAACCACGCCTTGCTAACTCAGCAAAATTAAGACATGTCTTTGGGGCATGCTTCCAATAAAGTTCAATTGTTATGGTGCCTTGACTTAAGTGTGTTATCGCATATTAAAATAACGGACAAACTTAGTGTCAAGGACAACGAAAGCTGGCTGTTCTTGAGCTGACATTCACAGCTGCAACACCAAATCTGGTCACTGTCGTCCGATCTATAACCTGAAGGACGGACCCAAGTCAAATATGCCCTCGCGACCTTGAGTGGCTCTGTTCAAGGCGAGCACATCGTATTTGAAGTAACAGGGATCGAGTATGAAGTTTAAAGATATTTCGGGTTGTTTTTGAATTCTGGAAGCCATGAGCGTTCTTCGGAAAGCTGTCAATACTCCAATTTTATTAAAGATTAAATCAGGCTCTGAAAACAAAATATCATCAAATATTATGACATATAATACTAGATAGGCCTGATTCATATGAGTTATATTTTGACTAAGTTGAAGGAAAAATTTTAAATGCTCTTTGTCAAACCCGCAGTTCCAAGAGTTCCCAAAAACCAATAAAGGGGAAATCAAGGAGAAATAAAGGAGGAAACACGCCAGAATGTCACATTTTTTGCCTGTCCGGGAGAAATAATGTGGATTTCCTCCTTTTTGTCGATTTTTCGCTAAATTGTCGACTTCTCGCCTAAATATCCGCCGAATTACCCCTAAATAACCGACGTAAAGGCGAAAAAGCGACATTTCCCGTTTATTTACGCTTTCATCCGGTTTATTTCCCTTTTTCGCCTTTAATTCCCCATTATTTGTTACTTGCGTTCATCCGTCGATTTAGCTAAACAGTTTAGACAAATTATACAGGAAATAACCTGGCAAACATTAAACTTGTCAACGAATTTATTATCAAGCTGTACAGTCATATATATATTGAAACTGTTCGTTGAAGTTAAATATTAACTGTCACTTAAAAAACTTACCAGAAGTTAATATCATTGTGTCTTGCGGTATGAAATTCTATAACTCACGAGTTTCAAACGCTCAAGAGTTCTCACGAGCTTTTCGTATACTTAATTCATATTCTATCATAAAGTAGTTTTCCCCTAGGTGAAGTCTAGAAATGGGTTGTACAAAAGACCCGTTCAGATAAAAGTAGCTATGAAGCATGTGCTGCTGAATAGGCATAAGGATGCCACCAATATCCGGAGTTTGACAACACCTTAATCAGTAACACTTTTTATAATCTAAACGTGCCATACAGTGAAATCAGAAGTCAGAAGCGAAGAGATTCGAAGATATTTTTAATAGAATATTGATATATTGAGAAGTGACTAATCTGAGCTGGGCTAGTGGTTGTATGAATTATGTACCACGACGTACCCAGTCGTGATCTGGTGCGGATTCGTGATCAAAACCTCTCAGCTAGATATGTCTAATAAAACTAATAAGGTCAATATTAATGTCGAAGACTTACAGAACTATAGAATTTGAGGACATATTTACCACTACAGATGCCCATCTAGACTTCAGAAGCTTTCTGAATATTTCAGTGGTTAAGATACCTAAAGCTCTGGAAGTATACTCCAGACACATAATGCTTTATTGGTAGCAGAGTACCATTGTGAAGTGATACCACGTGTGTCGGACATCAGTCATAAGGATGGTAGTTTGATCGACATGTATTACATCATTTTTATATTTCTCAGTAAAGATCCGGCTTCTGCTTAAGAGATTTTTGCCATGGTGTTTCTAACGTTGACCACTTGGAGTGAAATGTAGAATCTTATGGGGCGCTTTGTCGAACGTGATGCTGAAACGTTTTCGTCATCTAACAAATAATAACGCTCAAACCATCATTTATTGTATGAGTAATGGTGAATGTTACCACATATTCTGTAATGGGATGAAAATATATGAGCATTTTAATCTCACATTTTGTGAGAGGTTCAACAAGTCTAGCGCAGAACACGCCCACCTAACATGCTTAGATATGTCAGCTTTTTTAATAAAACATTGTCAAGCTGCTTGATTTCTTATATATGTGACATAATGTCACACAAATATCTTTGTTAACACATGCGAAGGATCTACGAAGGAACACAATATTCTATAACCTTTGGTCTTCGATGCACAGAAGTGTAGAGTTATTTCGTGGTCATGAATCACACCCACTTCCATGTCGTTTCGCACATATGAAAATTTGATCCCACCAATGGTTTGCCGTTGACCATCACTTTATTAGACAATGATTAGTCTTTTTTCTTAAACTAATATCTAAACTCTAATAGTAGGACTACTTAAATAATTTGTCTAAATAAACTTGTGTATCAAGGCGACTAGTTTCGTTATATATTATTTGGCAGATTTTCATAAAATCAGCAGACAAGTGTTGAGGCCCTAAACGATACTGATAATTCATTAACAGAGAAGATGTATAATAGTAATATCCTTCCGTCACGCCACTATCCACATTTGATTCTCACCTGCCTTCTGTTGAAGTGGAGGATTTTTATCTTTTGTTTGGTTATATCCATTATTTTAAGTTGTAAATGCACAAGCCATATGGCGGAACATCTCACCAAATGCACGGTGAGATCTGGAAATAACTCATAAACAGACAGATCATTATCACGGGCTTTTACCCAGTCCACTCTGATAACTAGTAAGTTAGTTTGCAATGGAATTAAGCCATAACCACACAATCTTCAAAGCTGAACATGAGAAAATTGGGAAAATAGATATGCAATATTTAACACGAAGAAAAACTCAACGATGGAGAAAGCGGGAACAATTAGTTGAATTAATTTCAGTTGATCGGATGGCATGGCTTGGCTTTCCAGGAGTGGTCTTTGTCGAATGTTACCTCATATCTTTTGCTCATAGTAAATATATAGTGCTATCTCCAGCCCGACTGTGTTCTTAATCATGTATTGGTAATTGTTACGATACGATGAGTCAGTGTAGACAATGATGTGACTTCCACGTAAGATCTTATAGATTAGGCAGTTACATCATGACAAATGCACAATTTTATGATTAGGTCTATTAATATAGCAGTACTAATATCATAGAAGACCATAATTTTACAAATTCCGCAAAATTTTTCTCACGAAATACGGGTTGCTCAGGGCTCAAAACGTTATCTGGTTATATGTAAATTAGCAACTATAATATATGACTCCAAGTTCTGGAGCAGTGTATTCTTCAGTCTGAATCCTTTCCGTCAATCTTCAGGATTCCGAGTTGGCAAATTGTTCAGATCCATATTTTTAACAATCCGACTACTACGTTACATAGACTGGCAAAGAGATCCCATCAATTCGGTTCATTTTAATATTAATATACAAAAATGTCCGTTCTAAGCAAAACGTCCTTCAAAAGTTTCGCAATGTTGAGACATTTATTCTCGCGCGCCTGTGAGATTGGTTCTAACCTTTAGACAGTTAAATAATTCCTCACTTACTTATCTACTTTTGATGAGAGACTTCAATGGCAAGGTTGGAACTGACAACACTGGATATGAAGACATCATGGGACGACAAGGACTGGGAGAAAGAAACGAAAATAGTGAGAGATTTGCAAACTTATGTGCCTTTAATAAACTGGTCATAGGCGGCACCATATTCTTACATAAACGCATTCACAAAACCACATGGACTTCGCCGAATCACACAACGCGAAACCAAATCGACCATATTTGCATCAACAAAACGTTCAGGAGGACTATAGAGGACGTGAGAATCAAGAGAGGAACTGACATAGCCTCAGATCATCACTTGCTGGTCGCCAAGATGAAATTGAAACTCAAGAAGCTGCAAGAGAAGGAAACATGAGACAACTGTATGGCACAACAAAGAAACTCTCTGGAAATCGCCGCAAACCAGAACGACCAGTGAAAAGCAAGACAGGCGAGGTAATCACCAACATTGAAGAGCAACGAAACAGGTGGGTAGAACACTTCAAAGAACTCTTGAATCGACCAGCTCCACTGAACCCACCCAACATCGAAGCAGCACCCACGGACCTCCCAATCAACGTTGGCCCACCAACAATTGACAAAATCAGCATAGCCATCAGACAAATCAAGAGTGGCAAAGCAGCAGGACCGGACAACATTCCAGCAGAGGCACTAAAAGCAGACGTAGTGGCAACTGCAAGGATACTCCACATTCTCTTCAATAAGATTTGGGATGAGGAACAAGTACCAAAAGACTGGAAAGATGGACTTCTGATCAAAATACCGAAGAAAGGCGATCTCAGCAACTGTGATAACTACAGGGGCATCACTTTTCTCTCTATACCAGGAAAAGTCTTCAACAGGGTATTGTTAAACAGGATGAAGGACTGCCTAAGGATAGATCGTGTACAGACCAACACTACGGATCATTGTGGAACAATCAATTGAATGGAATTCATCACTCTACATCAACTTCATTGACTACGAAAAGGCATTTTATGGCGTGGACAGGACAACACTATGGAAGCTTCTTCGACACAACGGCGTGCCTCAGAAGATAGTCATTATCGTACAGAGTTCATATGATGGATTATACTGCAAAATCGTGCATTGAGGACAGTTGACAAAGTCGTTCGAAATAAAGACCGGTGTCATCCAAGGTTGCTTACTCTCACCCTTTCTCTTTCTCCTGGTGATCGACTGGATCATGAAGACGTCAACATGTGAAGGGAAACACGAGATACAATGGACATCTAGGATGCAGTTGGACGATCTGGACTTCGCAGATGATCTGGCCCTTCTATCTCTAACGCAACAACAAATGCAGGAGAAGACGAACAGTGTAGCAGCAGCCTCAGCAGCAGTAGGTCTCAATATACACAAAGGGAAGAGCAAGGTTCTCCGATACAACACAGCATGCACCAATCCAATCACAATTGACGGAGAAGATTTGGAAGATGTAAAATCCTTTACATATCTGGGCAGCATCATTGATGATCACGGTGGGTCCGATGCAGATGTGAAGGCTCGGATCGGTAAAGCAAGAGAAGCATATTCACGACTGAGGAACGTCTGTAACTCAAAGCAACTGTCAACCAACACCAAGGTCAGGATTTTCAATACAGATATCAGGACAGTTCTAATTTATGGGGCAGAAACCTGGAGAACTACGAAAGCAATCATCCAGAAAATACAGGTGTTTATTAACAGTTGTTTACGCAAAATACTTCAGATCCGTTGGCCGGACACTATTAGCAACAGCGTACTGTGAATGAGAACAAACCAGATCCCAGCGGAGGAAGAAATCAGGAAGAAGCGCTGGAAGTGGATAGGACACATATTGAGGAAAGCACCCAACTGAGTTACAAGACAAGCCCTCACATAGAATCCTCAAGGTTAAAGGAGGAGAGTAAGACCAAAGAACACACTACGTCGGGAAATAGAAATAGACATGAGAAAAATGAACAAGAATTTGATGGAACTAGAAAAGAAGGCACGGGACAGAGTGGGTTGGAGAATGCTGGTCGGCGGTCTATGCTCCATTAGGAGTAACAGGCGTAAATAAAAAATAAAAAATACTTATCTACTAACTTACGCCAGTAAACACTCTTACAGCATATGCCTCAGAGCAGGATTCTCCAACTCTTTTCTGAAGTTTCTTTTTAAGTTATTTCAAAGCGCTACTCACCCCTGTATTGTTTGACCTAAATACCGGAGTAATGTGTTCTTTGGTCCGACTATTTCATTTTGGTCTTCAGGACTCTGAGTTAGGGCTTAACTTGTGATGGAGGTTGATGATTTCAGCAATGTGCGCCCTGCATACCTCTAGCGTCTTTTCCTCATTTCCTCTGGGGCTAGATGTAGGTTTGTTTGTTCTCGTAATAGTTTATTCCTGATCGTATCCAATCAATGGATCTTGTGTAGATAATCGTCTATAAACCCCTGTACTTGTTCATAATATTTGTGATCCATAAACTTCCCATCGTTACTTGCTCATGTATAATTTTGGGCATGTTTTAAATTTGCGTTATCATATTGTGTACACGTCTATCAGCTTACTATATTCGTTACATCACTAAAAAAACCAAAAACACTTGCTAATCCCAGAGTTTTCGTATTAACGAATCCCACCTCCTGATAAAGTAGCCCTGTAGTGGTATTCTCAAACAAACGATTCTCGAGGTTGGACATACGTTAACTGAGAGGATTTATGTTCATCATTTATCCCTTAGAGGTCAGAAATGGTGAACGTGGGATGACTAAATCGTTATGGTATGGCTTGTCCATGTAGTTGTGGTTACCTCAAGTTACTTGATCCTTTCTGTGTTTAATATATTATTCCATCCTCAGCATGTGCGTTCTCTAGAAGTCCTAAACAGTATATTACTGACTGCCACGATGGGACGAGTGATGTTTTCGTGCCTATAGGTAACCCTCGTGCTATTGATAGAAGAAGCCAGACAAGAAGTGAATAGGTCTTTATTTCGATCTTAGCGCAGTCACAGTGGAGCGTGGGATTATCTGTTTAGACAAACAAAGGCTTTCAACATTCAATATAAGATAATAAGGAATATAACGCTTATACAAAATAAGGAAGTGAATGAATACTTGAACAATACTGTTTTGGCATATGCTTGGTTGTTTAGGGTCAACTCTTAACCAACCAACCTATGCTGTTGCATTAGCTTCCCTTTAGAATGGACTTCCGTAGGAACTTCGGTTCGATTAACCTATCTATCAAAAACACCTTAGTTCTATTTCTCATCCCAAGGGAAAATTATCAACTCGCTCAATGTTTGACTTACAATAAGTGGCAACTAACGCTGTCAACGGTAGTCCATGGATGTCTCTTCATTTACTAGCTTGTCATCTTATTTTTTAGCATGTGATTTTTTCTACAACTATCGCTGACGGTTTGCTGCGTGCTTTCAAGAGAAAGAGTGTTAAACTGTGGAATAAGAATATCTGAGGAAGTGCCGCGAGCGGGCTACCCAACACCATGTTGGTGAGGTACGATTTTTCCATGCTCAGACCGGCTATCAGGTGTTTACTCACCTGCCTCTTGAGTCGCCCTCAAGTAAAAAGTAAAGAAGAATTTACTTCAAATGTAATGATGAAAACCAATCAAACCTGAAGAACTGCTCCACTGCCTGCATCAAAATAATAAGATACAAAACGGAAATACATACAGTTTAAACTGGATTTTAAGTGTCTATAATTGATTGTACGTCTTCTCCTCAAGTTCATCCTGTGTCTGTCCGACAGTGTATTGGATAAAGCTATTGTATTATCTAGGATGTGCTCATTGGAGTTAGAATTAACAAATGAAATCGGAAGAAACTCACCTGCTTCTTAGAGTTGTGTAATCAGCATGTCCTTTGTGTACTGAAGCCGCTGCTACCTAGAATTTGAACCATAGACTTTCAGACTATCCTTCCCCTCGAAATAATGTTGGGTCTTTGTGTCCCCAAGTTATGAATGATGTGGCTTCATTTAAAACATATTTCTCACAATGACTAGAGTACACATTATTTGTGTACACATGTTATTTTCTAATTTATGGTACGTTGTGGTCTCTCTGATTGATATGTAAACCGAGTATGTCTGAAATAAACGATCTGCTCTGATTCGATTCATATTACGGAAGCTGGTATTGTGTTCTGGACTCAAGTGGAAGGGCTCGGAGGACATAGGACCGATAAGGACGCTAAATTGCCCACACCGGTTGAACGTCATTGGTTGGAATAGTGTGAAGATTCGTATAAGTCGTATTCAGATTGGTCGATAGGTCGCGTGATAGCAAAACCAGACATTCAAGGACATAACATAAGGAAATCCTTCTCCTTTAACACATTCGGAATTTGTATCTTTAACATAGTCTAGCAGTGGCTCCTTGAGAATTGTATAAGAAAGCAAAATGAGCTTTTCCAGGGTAAAGCAAGAGCTATATGCTTCTTTTCCGATAAATGTGGGGAAATATGCTACAATATTAACATCCTCATCATCTCCCTTGATCATAGCCCAAATTTCGAACCTTTCAAAGTAATCATCAAATGCATCAAAATCTGAATGTATATTAGACAATTCCATCACAGGCTCCATCGCAACGCCAATATGATAGTTAGGAGTGTTTGAATAATAGTATGAACTAAGAATTCCAGAAATAAAGTAATCGGATCAAGAAGTACTAGATAACCACAAACGAATGTACTGTATTTAGAATTCTAAATCAATTATTCAACAAGTATAAATGTATTGTTAGCTCATTCAAACATCACAAAGTTCCAATTAACAAGATGATTTGTAGTTACTTTTCACACAAATATATACGTTGGCATCAGAACATCGGATATTTGAAGCTGCTAAATATTGAATTTGTTTATCTAACTCAACCGAAGCTCGCTTCTATGGATATGATGAGTCTCAATTCGTAAATCCAAACACATGGTCTTTAAAACATATCGTCCAGTACAGACATCTCTAAGTGTTTGGTTAAAAAATTCGTTACTTACTCATCAGATTATTTTCTTGGTAATTCCTGTTAAATAATAATAATAATTCACTAGTTATTAATGGGAATCCTTGTGGGTCTATCATGTTGGTTACTAATTTGGACATCTCGGTTTTCTGACTTCGAAATCATCATGAAGTCCTATTACTTTTCTTCTGGAAAGCTTTTATTGCTTGTTTCATCGATATTTGGAGCTGGAGTAGCTGTTTTTGGATACTGCATTTTCAACGTTGATAGTCCTACTTTATTATTAATTGTAAGTTTTGCTTCAAAATTTACTCAGAAAGCACATTATTAGCAACTTTATCCTTATTTGGGCGTTTCTGTCAGTAAGCGTTTGTGGATTTTTGCTATTACTGGAGGTGGTATCTTATTGATAATTATATACACTTTTCTAGTTGGACATAGAATTGCCAGGTAAATTTACATCAGCGATAACGAAATATTATGGCATAAATATGTCACTTCGTCGAAATAAGGATTTAACCACTGCAATAAATGAGATTCAATTCAAAGTATGCAAATTAAAGTCTGATTTTTTTCTTGTGCAAATGTAGTTTAAGTGTTGTGGTACGCATGGTGAAAAATCAAGTAATTATTCATGGTTTATTTATAGAGGGTCAAGCACGTGGTTTTACATTACACAAGAGCTAGGTAGGTCCCAATATGAAGGACTGGTAGTTTTTGTTCACTCGTAATTTATTTCTAAAGAGAATAAATATTTGGTCTTGAGAATTTTAGTGGCTAGTGATCTGTTTCATTTTGAAAAGAACAGGAGGCTTGATGGCCTGTGTTAGTCCTGGCAATGGTGGTCTCTCAGTTGATCCAACGTTTTTTGAAAGAGTTGATAGATGGAGCCTCAACCACGTGTTGAGGTAATGAATTCCATTCGTTGATGATTCGATGGAAAGTCGTCATTCAGCTGACAATTAATTTGTTCTAGGCTTGTGAACGTTTTTGGAGTGTCCTCGTAAATTCTCTGTTTTGGAAGACAAGAAAAATGAGGGCATGTCAGGTGAAAATTTATCACTGGGCAATTTGAAAACTGTGATCAAGTCGCCTCTAGCTCTACGATATGACAACGGGAATAGGTTTAGCTTGGCCAGTCGAGCATCATAGGGGAGCTTTGCTATTCCGGTAATCAGCTTAGTTGCAGTTCTCTGTACCTTTTCCATAAGCTCACTGTCTTTTTTCAAGCAGGGGCTAGCCGCTTGTATGCAGTACTCAAGTTCAGGACGTACGAACACTGTATACAAAGTCAAAAACGTTTAAGCGTGGACATGACTAAAAGCCCTACGTATTGACCATAAAGTTCTAAAACCTTTGGCAGCTATTGCACGACAGTGTGCAGTAGTCTTTAAGTCTTGACTAACGATGACTCTCAAGTCATTACTTTTCTGGACAACAGGCAGCTCAGTGTTATTCATCGTGTATGTATCTGTACCTTGATGACCGATATGCATCACAACACACTTGGAAGTATTTATCGGCAATTGCCAGGTTTGAGACCATTCATGTAATTTCTTCAGGTCATTTTGGAGTTCCAAGCTATCATTTTTACGTCGTATCCTTCTCCATACCTTGACATCGTCAGCATATAGCAAGACCGATGATGATAAGAGATGAGGAAGGTCATTTACATACAAGAGGAATAGCACTGGCCCCAAAACGGTACCATGGGGCACTCCATAGAGCACAGTTTCCCAGCTAGATAACTTTGAGTTCACCCGTACTCTTTGTTGGCGCCCAACTAGGAAGTTATTTATTTACATCAATAGACTGTCTTCAATTCCGACATTTCTCAGCTTATATAACAGCCGGATGTGCGGAACGTTGTCAAAAGCTTTGCTGAAATCAATGTATGCTATGTCTACAGGTAACTTTTGGTCCTTAATACCGCACCAGCTTTCACGAGCGGCTAATGAGTAATTGAGACAAAAACAACCTATTCTGAAACCGTGCTGTTTCTCCGAAAGGATCTGATTATCATCGAGGTACTTAAACAGCTCCTTCCGAATAATCATTTCTAAGATTTTAACAACCACACTAGTTAAGCTAACTGGTCGGTAATTCCCAGGTTTACGTTTCGTACTTGTTTTGAAGACAGGACTTAACATGGCGTTCTTCCAGTCTTTTGGTAAACGACCGTGCGTTACGGATAGATTAAAGCGTATACTTAAAGGTTTCACAGCGAAGTCAGATAATTCCTTCAATAGCCTAGGACGCAATTCATTGGGCCCCGTGGATTTACCTATTTCAAGCTTGTTTAGCAGACCAAAGACATCGAGTTGTTTAATGTTCACTCTATCCAGTGTATTTGTGGGGGGATTTGTATACGCTAACGGGAAGGGTGCTTCTATGGTGTATACATTGCTAAAGTAGTTCGAGAACCCTTGATCCTTACCAAAGTCGTCCTCCACCAATGATGGGGTAGTACTGTCTTCCCATAGTGCAGTAATGTTTCCTCTTCTTTTCGTCCTTCGGTTTATATAGGAATACAAGCGTTTAGGACATTATATGGATTCCTTAACAATTTTTTTTCGCACAACTTTCTACACTTACGGAGGGTCGAGGCACAGGTATTCTGAGCTTTTCGATACTGAGATTTTGTCTCATCAGTCCCTAGTAACCTAAATCTATTCCACATTTTTCTTGTCTTACGGAGAAGGATGCAAATCTCCCTACTGAACCACGGTGGAGAGTTTCTCAGCCCCTCTTGATATAGTCCAAGGGATGTGGGGCGCGGTAACTTTTAAGTATAAATTTCGAAATGCGTCCCAAGCCGTTTCATTTGAGGACTCTGGGTCTATTGTCCAGTCTACTAACGATGCTGAGTTCATGATATCTGGTATGTTTGCTTTCCAGGCATTAGGTCTGGATTGAGCTAACGTGTGTTCGTGATTGACAGTTATATGGAAGTCGAAAGTTAAAACTGCGTGATCACTTTTACCTAGGGGTGACATGTAATGAATGTTTGCAACGCCATCCTCATAGTGAGTCAATATAAGATCTAGTTAGGATGATTCAGTGTCTTGGTCGTACCTAGTCGCTTCTTTCACATGTTGTACTAGGGCACATGTGATAACCGCATCAACTAGTTCCTTCTCGAAGGAATTTTCTAACGATTCAGTTCGCAGATCTTTCCAGTCTACCATAAGTGCATTAGAGTCCCCTAGGATTATACATCGACCACTTTGTGACTAGGTATTGAGACTGCTCAGCAGAATCTCATTTACCTCATAGCTTGAACTGCGATCGACCAAACCAATCAGCAGCTCTTGTCCCTTGCATTTCAAGCGGCAACTAACTAATCGACACGTTCCACTCTCCTGGGATACACTGTCGATAATGGTGAGTGGGATGGCATTCCTAATGAATAGAGCTAATCTCTGTCCTTTTACGCTTTTGTATTCTGTTGGCCCTTACCGACGTAAAACCCTTGAAATCAAGTTCCGTATTATCTATAGACTGTGTCAGCCAGGTTTCTGTGACTGAGATTCCGTCTGGCTTTGTAGAGTCAATCTGTACACCTAGTTCCGATCCCTTATTGAGTAAGCTTTGTGCATTGGTGCAACAGATCCGAATCCCATTTATTGGCTTCGTGCTTCGCGCATAGTGGCTTCGGCATTATTCTCAGTCGAAGCCTTACAACCTGAAAATTTACAATTTTCAGGTTCTTTTCGCCATCGTCTAACCTAAGTTGTAGTTCTTTTTCGGCTTCCCGTCTTTTTACACGGTCTTCCACCGCCAAGTCTTTACGAATAAAAACTCCTGAATCCTTTGGTTAATGTCCATTCTGTAAAATTAAGTCGTGTTCATCCGAAGATTTGAATACTACTTTAAGTAGTTTGGATTGATTAGGCTTCAAGTTCGCTAGACTACTTAGTCTGTACACCATTAGCAAGGTGACTCCGGGGATATTTTGAGGCATGAGTTGATTAAATAGCTGGTTTATCAGCAGAACGTTATGCTCAGAACGAGTTTTTGGTTCTATGAAAAACAACTGATCTGTCACTACGATCATCCATCGATTTCTCGACTACTTTTATGGGGGCAGGATTCCCTTTTATATCGTAATGTTTCTTCTTCCTTACAACTTGTACCTATTCGTCAACGTTGCTAGGAGAAGCAACCACAATTACGTCAAACATACTGTGGGATTCCGGGGGGTTGTTGACGATTTGGGAGGTAAGGTTATGTTTCCCGCTAGAAACCGATCGAGCCTTGCGATTGAAGCTTCCAGGCGTTTCCTGCTGGATACCATTTAGAAGATGGGGGCAGAAGAAACTTCTTTTCCTGAGTTTTAGGTTAAGACAGACCTCTTTGAAGACTGTTTTTCCTCCTTTGTTCGGTGTGAGTCACCTATTTTCAAACTAACCTCAGTTTGCTTCACACCAATTTGCGTGTTGATAGAGCGAGTACTTATCGATGTATCCTGACCACGCCCTCCAAAACACGTTTTTGCAGCATTTACCAATAAGATGACCTCGGTTAGCAAGCTGTTTGCAACCGAACAGCACTATTGACAAAGCCATACACAACCGCTTTTACTGAACCGTTTGAAAGCCGAAGGCATTAAATTCATGCAAACTTCCTGGCACCGGCCTTTTTCACTCATCACACTGCATGCCGCTTTCAACGGGATAACGACAGTCCGGACGTCGGCAATTGCTTTTTGTGTACTGTTCAGTCATCAGACGGTCTTTTTTTAGAAAAAGAGAACTATATGCAATAATTCTCAGGGACAAAAATGATCTGTGACCAAAAAAAGTGGAAAACTGTAGATTGTTTTAACCAAAAGTACCAACAAATAGAACAGAAAACAAAGTACTTAAAAGTATCGACGAAAAACCAATTTAGAAACAGAAACGACACTCTAATCGAATACTTTAACTGAAATAAATTCAATTAAAGTGAAAACAGTAGTGTTGACGCGTAATAAACGATCAAAACAATAGAATTTACTCAGCGAGGAAAAATGAATATACTTTCGTTTAATTCTATATACTGCGTCTAGACTAATCCTGTTCATGAAAAGTGGGTACTAAGAAGCCAAACACGGACGAAGTTGAATTGGTTTATTTCATGTAATCGTTTGCGCAGACCGACATTAAAACGAGAATAGCAAAAATAAAGCGAAGGCAAGCGTGCCAAATAATCTTGATATTAATCCATTATTTATACCACACTAAAGAAGCAATAGATATATGATGAATAAAGTAAGCGATTCACTCGCATATGCTCAAAATAGATAATGAGTAGTGAGGCCAACAGAACTCCTTTATATGAACTAATGAGTGACTGATGTACACACAAGGTGACTAAGTTTGGAATTACAAGGACATAAATACGAGAAGTAGGTTCACGGAAGGTCACAATTTTCTGTGAAAGGAATAAAGTTATTATGAAAATAAAAATGGCCCAATAGTTATTTAAGTTATTAAAGTCTATTCAGCTGCTAGGATAAACCGCTTGTGTCCTAGTACCGTAGTAAACGAGAACAACAATGGGGACGTCCAAATGTTTTTATTTCAAGAGGAGTATAATTACGTCCCCCAATTTCGACAAGCATTCCCAAACTTACGAAACTTATCAAGCTATTGACGTGGTTGGTCTTCATTCATTTTTCAATATGCTATTAGTAATATGTGTTGTGTCTTTAGTACATTTGTAGTACATTTGCTCAATCCCGGAAAAAGTATTTGTACACAAGCAATTATTGTTATCAAGTCTCAAACGCTCCATTACGGATGTGCGAGTGTGAACATGTGGCTAAAAATGTTAACAAGTTTTATCTTAAATTTTCTAATTGCCTAGTGCACTATTTTTCATCTAGCTAAGTACAGAACAATCCCGCCAATCCTACTTCTAAAGGAGGAAGCAAGTAAAAGTATTTGAAACATCATAAAATATAGATATAAGCACAAATAAACCATTTCAGAGACTACAAGCCAACGTCAAAATATAGTTACACTAACTGGAAATTGCTTTATACAAATTCATACGATGACTCTTATCACTGGTTGTTAAGCATTCTTTTTAGATGCTAATGGTAAATAAATTCAGAGAAAACGGTGATACTACATGAAATTAGCAACGTAGAAGTTCCAGATCTCTTAAACCTTTTGCATTTACTTTTTGAAGACATTTTTGGGCTACTGGGGTAATAGTTTGGGCAGATAGCAAACACCCATTGAAAACAAAATAGCATGATCTTGATTATTATTACTAAATAGTTTGTATCATATAGGTACTGCTGAGGTCCAACAGTAAAATGTTTGCAGTTTATGATTTCGGTTTTTTTCTCACAGATACTGAGAGTATCGTGGATTCGTTAATGTGGCGGATCTTGACGGTTTATTGCTTGGTCTATGCCAAATATTCACCAACTTTTAGGTTAATATTTTTGCTTGACGGATGCCTGGATGTAAATGGTTAAATACAAAGTTTATTATAAGAACTACGAGCAAGGTGCAAAAATCAGACGCAAGTTGTCTATTGTAAGGACCATAGGCATCACCACTGAGCTATTCAGGTTGGAAATAACTGTAAATAGGGTTGGGTTATGTACATTAATCGGTCGCTGAGTGGTAAATAAGGTATTTTTCCAAGTTATTACTTGTGACTGAATTTTGTTGGTTCATGCATCTTAATGATAACTTTATTGTCTTAACAGCTCACTTGCAATCTCAGAAGTCTCAATAAATTATTTGAATTTCTTAAAACCATTTGTTTAGATAGCGAATCCTTTTTATTTAAACCTTACTATTTTCTCTTAAAAATGTTTTACTTGTGACCAGCCGGGACAAAACTGTCTTCCAATTACTCAAAAATAAGATTTCATTTTAGTCTATTTGAAACTTTTAAATGCCTTTTTTAATATTTTCGTATAGGTCTAAAATCAACGATCCAATACGTTCCAGAAAGTTGTTGTGTTTTAAAAAGTCCCAATCTTCAATTTAATTCTTTCTCAGAAATTCAATCACAAAGTGGTGTTTTCCTAGACAGAGAATTATGTATTGGTTATAAGTCACTTACAACAAGAGACGATATTGCACCTCGTATTGATAATCCATTATATACCACTAGAAGTAATACATATCTATATGAAAAGGTAAAAATCATCAACAATGTTCAGTTTTTTCTTGAATGTTTTGCTTTTCTAGGGATGTGTAACGGTAGTCAGACAAGAGTATCAACAATATTCTATCATGTTAGCTGCTTCAGGCACAACTGCTCTGGTGCTATCTGTAAGTTGTTTTTGTTATAACAGCGAAATCCGGTTCCTTTCGAGTTTTCAGTAAATAATACAACAATGGGGTAATACAACGGTTTGGTACACTATGTATAGACAGCATCATGTTATACCTAGTTAAAAGATTCACGATCAATAATCGACTATCAGATTATAGACCAGACAATAGCTTGTTTAGAACAAATCCAAGTAGTTCATATGGAGTCCTCAGTGATATTAGAGTAAGCATCAATTATAAGGAGGAATTCATGATATTAATTAATGTCATGACATTTGACAAATTGGGTATCTATTTTTCTTCACTCTCTGTTCAATCACATCTTGCTCTTACTTATCACATATTGGTCCTCATAAAACATTTTTACTAAATGCTGTACTATTTCCTTTTATTTATATGAAGTTATTTCTGTTTCAGATAGTTGGATTTATTCTTTCACTGGTTCTACTATTCCATATTGAATATCAACAATTTGTTAGAATTTCAACGGACTGGAATATTAATACTAGTACAATTAATATACAGTCATCTATACAAGACAATATCAGCACTACATCTAAACAGTTATCAGAGAATGATGTGTTAGTTAACGCCTAAAATATACTTATTGAGTTACATTACTTTATATTACTGTATATTATATATGTTTTTTTTCTACGGAGCAATCTCTAATCACATAAGATTCTGTTGTATTATATATTCGTAGAATGAATGTAGATAAATGTAAATTAGGTGGCTGACATTTCTGCGTATATTGTCAGTTGTAAATCAATTTTATAATATTGAAGTCTGACGATACACGTTTTAAAATCATTTGATTGAATAGGAAAAATTAAGCATCTGATTACTACCAATAGACCTACTAAACTATTAAGTAAATTTCTTAATCTTAATTTAATGTTTACAAGGATCACTTCTTGTTTTAAAACCAATTTTCTTCTAAAACTGATATTCATTTAAGAAGCTACTGAGAATATTTGTTTTCATTTCACATACGTAGATTTTCGTTGTTATGTAGAAATAGGATTTTTATCAGAATGGGTTTTGTGGAGATTTTAGAAATTTCACAGATTGAAATCATGAGTCAGTTGAAACTCCACAAAACCCATTCTGATAATAATCAACTGCTCACTAGTGACTGACTTCAGGAAAAACTCCCGAAGTTCTAGTGAGAAGCCGTTACCAGGGGAGTTCAACCAGGTTTGTTGTGAGATAGGAACTCACTGAAGACAATGGTGTACGGTGGCGCAACTTCATTGATTGGTTGAAGTTAGACATTAACACCGTTGGATGCCGTCTCGGTGGTCTAGTGGTTAGGTGCTCTCGCGCGAAGCCAGTAGGTCCTGGGTACCAGCCCCGCGTGGTACGGGATTGTGAATGCGCACTGCTGAGGAGTCCCATACTAGGACGAAACGGCCATACAGTGCTTCCAGGTTTTCAATGGTGGTCTAGCTTCAACTGACTCATGATTTCAATCTATGGAATAGAATTTCGTTCAAAAAAATAAAATTATATATATATATAAAATAAAAACACCTCAGACTACATCGTGTAATCTCAAGATTGTAGAAATAGCCTATTGACACCAAAAAATACTCAGTGTACAAATTTTTAAAAAGGTGTAATGAATACAGTAGGATTGTGAATATCTGTTGTGGCACTCAAATTGTAAATTCTGCGGATAGTGTTATATATTGCTAAGACTCGTGATATGGTGAGCCAATCAGTAGTAGCCAAATGAGAAGGTATATATATATATATATATATATATATATATATATATATATATATATATGAGTACATATCATTCGATAGCCCGATACACTATCTCGTTCACTTTTATGTTCTTGATCAAGTACTTAGCTGGGTGGTCAGCATGTATCACGTGTATCAATATCAGATCTCGAACACTTCCCATCAAAACAACTTGTTTCAGAGGTTGAAATGAATGTGTTATTTCATGATGTAATTAAAGATGTTATGGTTCAGGTATTCGTATTGAAATCATAACATTCTATTAGGTTGGAAAACGTAAAATCAACGACGAGGGTAGAACGTCGAGAATTCACATTTTGTTGAGGTCATGAACTGACATAATTTAGAAAGCTATTGGTTGTGACCTCAATGAAATTCACTGATCTCCTCAGTTTCAATAATTATATTTCTCGTTTTGTTTTGCTAGATTCTCACCAGCTGCTTACAACTTGTACATCTATATCCTGTGCGGACTACCTTAATAAAGTTGTATTTTGCCAGTTTTATGTAGAGTATATGAAATAATACTAGCACTGAAAGCCAGGATGAGCGTTTCTTACTGTTTGAAACTCGTTAGTTAGATGCACCTGCCTAAAAATGCCTGTGACTTAGTGACAATATCGAGGCTATCCGCATAGGATGTACATATCCCAAAAGAGACTGATCAAATGGAGTGTTAAGCATCAGTGGAAAATCCAAACAATCAGTATATATGAATTGCTAAAACCACTTTTCAAACCTATTTAGAAAATTGAACTACTCAAATTACAATGGGAGAAGAATAAATTAATCGTATCAGTAAATAATGATAAAAAACTGTAATGCTGTTCCAAATATTTTATATTAAATTCAATAATAACTTCATACAGTAATAAGCAAAGATGGATGATGCCTAGCAGTGGAATTTAGGACGCGCGTTTCTTTTTATTTGGGACTCATCAGCTGGATGTACCTGCATTTCACAATCTTCTTGAACTTCAGTGTCTTAAAAACATGCGTAACTTATCAAAGCGAATTATTTCAATTTCAATACAGTAGTGGAAATCAACCAACTATATTATTTTGATGCTTGTAGTTTCTTCCTCTAGAGGATGAGTTACAGACTGAAGCCTGTTTACTAAAATCTGAAAATATTTAAGACATAAGTGTCTTTGTAGTAGAATCTTCTTCTCACTCTTCTTTGTAGTCATTTGAAGCTGTTTCACCCTAGTATGGAACCCTTCAACAGTATTCATCCACAACCATATTAGCGATTGAATCCAGAACCTTAGGTTTCACAGAGAATGAGATCTGACTTATTCTGATTTATCCAATTACAGAACAAATTGGTCAATAGGATATTCCAAACCACGTACTAATATGAATCGAAATCTGGGGTAGAAACATTATCAAACTAACAAACTGTTTACAATGCTTTTTTTTATTTAATTGCATTACATCAATAATCATCACTCATCTAAGGACCACTGATGGAGTTTGGCTTATCAGTAAAGCACTAAATGAATATAATTTACCCGGAAAGAATCTTTGACCTGAGCTTAATTTACCAAGTTAAATTCAGAAGGTGAGGGTTTTGGGTTTGCTTGCGTATGTATCACTTCTTCATATCCATAAACGTCAAATAAAAGTTAAGAACTAACAGTTCTAATTAGTCTTCTACATAAGATATAGCTTAATTGTGCAATCTATTAGCTGAATAATCTTTTTTAATTCTGAGAGAAGGCATAAGCAGTAATGAAAAAAAATCAGTACGAAGAAAATGAAACTGTTGAAAATACCCTAACTCAACAAACGCCGATTAAAATTTTAATATATAAAACAATTCTTCAACTACAATATCTCTATACTTATACTCAGAGAATGAGAGAGGGGGGAGAACAGAAGATCTTCACAAAAAAACGCTGAACAATTAAGGGGAAACAAAAAATGTTTGCATAAGTATCTGTCACTAGTTATTACTTATTAAAGAGGTTGACTTACAAGACTAAAACTAAAATAGTAAATAAGGCCAGAATTTTGAAGTTTAATGGTTGGATTTATGTCAGTAGTCCCGCTTTTTTCACAAGATTAGATAAGGGATGTCATAAACTTCCTGAAATTTCGATATCTAAGTTGTATTACAATCAGAATACATCGAAATACATCCGATCTGTTGGTTTAATCAGTGAAGATCAATTGCTCATGGGGTTGGAGCAAAACAATGAACGGGGATTCTAAAGTACATGAAGACAATAAAGTCCTAGAAGACGTGCATTCACACAGGTAAATGGAACGAACTGACACAATACTTGTGTGCTTATGTTAGGAAGTTTATTTGCATTTGAAATAGGCACTGATAATTTTATTCAGGTGAAAATGTAAGCTTAGAAGTTAAATTATTTAGCTCAGAGGATACATCATCATCAAAATCTGCACGGATATGAGAATATATTTCAGCATGGTTCTACACGTATAAGGTGAAAGCGGTTGGCAGTTCTGTCTTTGAACATTGAGTCGGCTTTAATTACTTCACTGATTCACATGTTGATTTTAAAGCACATGTAATTTGTCTAAATCTACGAAGATTTCTTAGTGTTTGACTCCGTAAACCAACATAAGCTCTTGTCATCCTTGAAAGGAAGCCACAATTTTGTGTACAAAAGAAGTACTTCTTTTCTTTGTCTTTACCGTAGCCTTAAATCATTATTACTTAGTTCCATTTCATTGACTTCAAACTTGAAAATATCCCTCTTCGTTTCATTAATCTTCATATCCCCATAAATTTATTCATGATTGTTTTTAACATCACTTCATTTCATTTAGCTTCTCTAATATCTTCAACTGTTGTGACATGGCTCAAAATCGTTTGCAATAGCGCAGGTGCATACACTCTTTGTGTTCTCCCAAATTTTGATCTCCTTATCCCTCCATGTCTCTTTTTTTCTCTTCCTAAATTTATTTCCCTATATTATACTCTTTAAGTAACATCTCCAAACACTAATCTTCCCGATTAATGCTTATACTCTTATTACCTCTACCACTACGGGATTTGAATCGACCACTGCATCTCTGTGCTAATGTGGTGTGGAAACTCGAACTGACGTGCGTACGTACGAAGTTCTACGTTGTTACTGACTGACCGTGACATTATAATCCACTGTTAGCTGATTATTTTTACAGGCCTGGTAAAAAATCCTTTGAAATGATATCCTTTCGCTAAATTTCATGTTTTTATTCAGAAATATTTACTTGTAAGATACTCTTCTCAAATAAGATTAGATTAGAAACCTAGTTAATGTTTCCGAAAAATCTAATAAAACCCATCCATGATCGACGACGGACGATGGTCTTACAATTCATAGGATGTCAATAATAATAACAGTATAATTGAGCCCCACTACTTCTAACGAAGCAGTCATGAAGATGGTAGAATTTTAGAGAAAAAGTGCACCAACTCGGAACAGGTAAATATTAGATTAGTATTATCAGTGGAAGTAAGATAGGATGATGTTGGAACGTAGTTACTAAAGGTAAACATAACGTGAATGCAACTGACGCTAAGTCATATCACTTAACTTTATTTTCCTCACGTATATTTACCAATATGAGATATTATTTTCAGTGGTTGATTAACTAAAATCATTTCAATAAATTCATTTGTATTCTTATCTTTAAAGAATTAACCTGACTGAAGGAACCATAAATTAATATATACTACTATCACATGATGAGTAGTATATAACATTTGTGAAATTTTATTCTCATTTTGAATCGTTAATCATTCATTTGTATGTATACCAATCATCTCCAGTGTCCAATTTCTTAATTAAATTTGATTAGAAGAACATTTTCACAATACCACCACCACCGCAACGAAAAAATATGTCAACGATTGTAC